GCTACATGGAGATAGTGGGTGAGGTGAAAAGAGCAATATTGTACATTGGATGTAGATTTTGTATGGACATACATTCTGAATATATATATATATATATCATAAGTAAGGCCCCTGACCCACTTCCAGATGTTTGATCGAGCTGAAATTTTGCATGTGACGTTATTTAAATCTCTATAGATTAAATAAGAAATTACAGCTCTGAACTATTTGTGGTTTCTGACTTACAGGTGTTTGAACTGAGTAAAGTCTGAAATGGAGCCTGTTGAGTGTAGAGCAGTGATTTGCTTTTTCTATTGGAAAGAACTCACACCCCACTTTAATGAAATGAAAGTAATTTATGGTGATGATGCCCGTTATATGACCTTGCAAAATGTTTTACAAGGTCATCTTATGGGACATTATCACTATAAGTTACTTTCATTTGATCAAAAGTCTCCCATTGTGTGCGTCCCTTCAAATGAAAAACTCAGACTTGACTCAGTTTTAACACCAGTAAATCAGAAACCACGATTAGTTAAGAGCTGTTATTTGCTACTTAATCTATAGAGATTGAAAATAATTCACATGCAAAATTTCACCTTGATCAAACATCTGGAAGTGGGCCAGGGGGATTACTTATTGAACGCCACTCGTATATATATATATATGTACGCATATATGTATATATATACAAAAAGATTTTATTTGACCAGTAAATGGTTTCACTTTTATCTGCACAGTAGATATTGTCTTAATTTTTTGGATAATGTCCCTTTTGCAGGTTGCTGAAGCATCATCACACTATGTGCTGCCATTAATAAGCCTCTGTCTTAACTCTGGATGTTTACCTATTTTTATAAGAATAAGGGTCAAGAAAATTTAGGTTATGTGTTCAGTTTAATTGATTGTTACCAAGCTTTAACCATTGAGCTATAAATTTAAAGCTGCTGCCTCTACCGTTTTATCCACTTTTAAAATGCTCCACTTGAAGGGAAACGGACCCCTAGAATAGGCCTCCACCACCATGCTTGACAATGGGAATGGTTTTAGTTGTAAGATTGTGACTTAGGAAACGTTTCCTTTTTGTTTAATCAGCAACAAACTTTTCTTTTTATCTTTTATTTTTACTTTAGCCCATCAGGTTTGGATGCAGTTCATCTTTGTTAGTACCCTCAGTTTATGTTTATGTTAAACAGGCGTCCCTGTTGAGTCAGTGACTCTGGTTGTCTAGAATCAAACTGATTACCACCTTGAGCGTTGCTTGTTTCTGCTTATTCTTTCATAAACTTGAATTTCTCATTCACCTTGAACCCCGCTTGGGATAAGCGTGACAGAAAATGGATGGATGGATGGATGGATGGATGGATGGATAGATAGACAAACCTTACAAACGTTTAGTGGAAACAACCATGAGGATGCAGTTTATACCTAATTAATATCACATATTTGGATCATTTTCGGATACATAAACTGGGTTTAAATGTCACTGAAAGATATCCTGGCATGCAGTAATCAAGGACATCAACAAGGTGGCGTTAACGTACTTGAATAGCTTGGTGCAAACTTGATCTAAATTCTACTGCATGGGGCGATGCAATAACATCTTGGATTTTAGAAATGTCTTCCGTGCTGTTTGCAAAACAAACATGTCAGACATGAGTTGGCAGTGATCACAAATCCACACATGAGGAGGCATTAAGAATAGTCTGCAAAGACTAAACCATATTTGGGTTGTTGTTGTTGTTTTTTTTTTTTTTTTAATACTGTGAAGTTTTGGAATCCTATACTCGTTTTATACCCTTTAAACATACCCATGCATATTTAATCTTTTTATATGTTTTCATGTTACAGCCAGAAGCTGTGCTTTTTATAAGATATGAAATGATGGACAGATGCAACGTTGTGGGAGCGAAGGTGAAAATCTTTTCCTGTTTTTTATCACTGTGATAAGCCAGCCTGTGCTGCTATGAATTTTTAATGTTTTCTTCCTACAGATTCTCAACTTGATTTAGTTGGATCTTGGTCTGGGTCTTTGACTAGGCCGTTCACACTTGAATTCAATTGCTAAATCTACTCCACATGTAGTCAAGTTTTATAGAGGCCTTTTAGTGTCTAATTGGGTGTTTTCTAAGCTAGGAAGCATTAAAAAAAAAACTTACGATTGTAGATTGGAGATCCCTTGATTGGTTGTACTTTTTCACATCTCTGCAAGAATCTCAAGTCTTGCAGTCCTAACATGTTTTTGAACTTCTTTGCAGTTCCACTGGCCTTCCTGTTAACTCCAACCAACTTTTCTTTCCCTTTTTAAGAGAAGCATCCCCAAAGCATGATGCCGCCACCACCATGCATTCATTTGCAGCGTTATATCTCAACAACATGAAGTGTTTAGGCTGTAGGTATTTCTGAATTACTCTTTCCATACTCAAATGATGGATCAAAAGGAGCTCAGAGTTGTTTAAAGCTTGGGACATGATTATAACCTGTAAATGTTATAATGTACATGTCTATTTTTTGCTTTTTTTTGTTTCATTTTATTGTTCTTTATTTATGTTCCATATATGTTCTAATCATTAGTTCATAAGTTTCTTACCTCTTCTGTTCCCTGTGTATTACAGTTTATTCCCTTTATTTCATTTGTTAGTACTTTTATTGGACTTCCTCCGCGTTAATTAGGGCTCCTCCATCAGCTTCCCTGCTTGCACTTTGCCTCAGCTGTTCCATATTTCTACTGATTAGCTCTTATGGTTCCTTTATCTTCCACCTTTGCCTCAGTATTTCTCTCCTGTTCTCTCTCTTTTTAATGCTGGATTCTTCGGTTCCCCTGTCTCTTGCTAAGGTTGTGCTCCATGCCCTGCTCCTCCTTTGATTTCGCTGTATTTCCTCTTTTGTATAATACTAATAAAGTTTATCTCTGCACTCCAGTTCTTTACAGCCTACCCACAGCTTTCTCCTTGATCTGTCAGCTGCTTTCCTTGATTTTCATGACAATTTTTTTTTTTGTTACATGACATAAAGGGAACAAGTTCAAGGCCTAGTCACTGTCCTTCTCCTCTCTTCCAGCCTGCCTGACTGGTTCATCTCGTCTTCTTATTTGCATGTCTTGGTAAAGTTTGTTCAAGCAACATTTCAACTTTCTCTGTTTCGACATTGTTTTGATATTTAACGGACATCCTGCCTCCTGTCAAGGCTTTGTTAGAAAGCATTCAGAGCATGACGGCATGATGCGTATACAATTTATGACAATGTGTGCAACTGCAGAATAACTTGACATAATGATGCAGAGTAATGACTGAAATAGATCAATACAAAGTGAAATTGTACAGCCCTTAGTACGACAGAAAAGCCTCCAAAGATATTGATTTTTTTGCCTGTTTATTATCAAGATGATCAGATGAAGATGATCAGTTCTGTAAATTATATAAGTAAAAGCAGCCAAATATAAAAGGTCGAACCCCTATTTATATGTTCCTGCTGTGCAGACACAACATCCCTACTGTTCACCTGCCACACCCATGCATACCAGTGTGGACATTTTAGGTCTCATTGTGCACATGTCCATGTGGATGTATTGTGATCTGGGATCCAGTCTGCCAGATGCTCACCTGTCTACCTCCAGGGGTGTTTTTATGTAAACACCACTATGTGGGCCGATGTTGGTTTGACGGTTTAGTTAGGAATTTAGTGTTATCATCAGCGTATCCAGGCTCAGTGAGGAGAGACCCAGCCCTTATCTCTCTGTGTGCAGCCAACCAGCTTCCTGTATTTGAGGTATTCTCTAATAAAACAGTGTGAAGCCAGAGAAGAGCAGACAGAGGAGAAGCTCAGCTGGAGAAGCTTCACCTTCAGCATAAAAGACAAGTGCATATTAAGCAGATACACGTCTAAGACAATAAAGGATTGGAATATAAAATGTTACAAAGGAACTACAAATGGTTAAAGATTAACCCCAAAATCACTAAAGATTGAAATTAAAAACGTCCTGATTTTTGACCCAAATAGGCTTATAAAAAGGATTTTTCATTGAGTAAAATGCTAAATTTAACCCAAAATAAAATGCAAGCAAACCTAGACAATACATAACCAGAAGGAACTAATCTCCAATAATCAGACACATAGGTCACATATTAAAGTGGAAAATGTGGTTTGTTGAAAAGAACACAATCGAAAAACATAAGCTATTAACCAATAACTAACCAAAACAAACACATTGGAGCATTAGGAGCAATTAAATTTTGGAGCAAATGCAGCTTTATATGAATACATTTAAAGTAAGAAATTAATTCCAATCTTCCTATGTGATGTTTTTTTTTTTTAAAGCGAAAAATAAAATAGAAATATTTCTTCAGAAGTTGCTTCTTTAAAGTTTGATTTATTCTTCTTTAATTACTGAATGATGCAAAAAAAAAAAAAAAGGTCTAGTCGTTCCAGGGTTTTTTTTTATACGGAAGAGGATTAGGGCCACTGAAAAAAAACAAACTGATTAACTGATTTTTTAATTTTATTTCAGTATAATATGAGAAAAAAGTCAGAATTCTGAGATTAATCTCAGAATTCAGAATTTTTTTCTCAGAATTCTGACTTTAATCTCAGAATTCTGACCTTTTAAGGTCCTTTTTTGAGGAAAAAAGTCAGAATTCTGAGATTAAAAAGTCAGAATTCTCAGAGAAAAAAAAGTCAGAATACTGAGATTAAAGTAACAATTCTGAGATTAAAGTCAGAATTCAGAGAAAAAAAGTCAGAATACTGAGATAAAAGTCAGAATTCTGAGATTTAAGTCAGAATTCTTTTTTCTCATATTATACTGATATAAAATTAAAAAATCAGTTAACTCTTTTTTTTCTCCAGTCTCCCTAATCCTCTTCCGTACTTTAGAAATGTTTTTAATCGCAGTATAAAGTAGTTCTATATTGTTTCTAGATAAACTTGGTGCTTTTATTTTGAAACGGCCCACCGGAAGCGGTCCGTTGACCATTAGCTTGACCAGAAGGACAGCAGGAGCGAGGCAGCAGCAGCAGCAGTAGCACTTGGAGCTCGCTGCCACCTCAACATGGAGTAGCTGGAGCCGAGCTCTTAGTGCCGAAGTGCGGGTTCCGTTGAGAGGAATACCCGGCGCCATATATTTTATTTATCTGCCAAAAATAAAAATAATAAAAAAATATATATAACACGCAAATGGTAAAGCGGCTATATTTAGCAGAGTCACTGGGAAGCCCGGCTTTTATTTGAAAAGATGGCGAACGACTCTCCAGCTAAAAGTCTGGTAGACATAGACTTGGCTTCATTGCGGGTGAGTGTTTTTTTCCCTGCTTCCTTTATCATTTTTTTTATATATATATTTCCAGTTTCTCTGTAAAGCCGCCTGTCTTTAAACCCTACATATGAGGAGGTTTTAGTTTGTGTTTCGGCTTTTTCCCCCCTGTTAAAGATGAGTTAAAAACGAGCCGTTGGGCTCATCGAGGTGTTGCCAGTGTCTGCTTTTCCTTTGTTCGAGATGCGTTTGGCATGAAGGGGAGACCAGGGCGCAACAGCTGGCGTTCACCCGACAATGTTATCAATTTTAAGATGTAGCAACATTTGATATTTAACCACCCTGTCCCCTTTTCTCTACTGCAGGATCCGGCTGGGATATTTGAGCTTGTGGAGGTAGTTGGAAATGGCACCTATGGACAAGTATACAAGGTTGGTTGGAGGCTCACTGCATGGCCTGTCCTCTTTTATCTATCTGTTTCTGTTTTAAACTACAAGAACAAAGGAGGGGAGGTTATATTGGAGGGTTTAGGTGGACCACATGGAGGGACTGTTGGATTTAATGGGGAATGAGCAACATTTGTTGCAGCATTTTCAATAGTTGAGGATTAGAGGCTGAATCAGATCATCTAAACTCTGATGCAACACCCATCTTACATTAACCACCTTACTAAAAATGAGATAAGAAAACCATCATTGAGTAACAAATGCTTTTCCTTCTAGATGAGGCTAGCCTCATAATCTTCTGTCCAAAACATTTATCCTGAAAGAGATTTTGTATTTTATTTGTGCCAATATTTTGTGTGTAAATAAAACATTTGGACTCATTTAGGTCTCCCCACTTGCATTTAAATCTTAGTAAACATTGCGCCTATAAATAAAGCTTGATTGGGAAGATATAGGTTGTGTTTTTCGCAGCACATTGTCCTGATCATAAATCTGAAATGACCGTTATCCTATATGTTCTAGCGTTTATTCAAATTTAGACCATAAAAAATAACATTACACAATAACCCAGAAGTACTGTACAGTGGTAATTCCTCAAATACTTTGTAATGGGACTTGATATTTGAAAGCCTTCCTGACATTCCTTCCAAGGAATCCTATGAAATGACAATATTCCAAAAACTAAAATAGCAGAAATTAGTTGTGATACTGATCTTTAAGTAGATTGGACTAGATATATTCTGATGAAACTTTTTCCTTTCGGATATGCTGCTGATATTGACCCAACATGATATCGGTACAAATCATTTATTTAAATAATTGGCTTCATAGCGTAATATTAATCGAAGAGAGAACAACTGTCAACAACAACAGGTATGAGAGCAAAACCTATTTATAATCAACCAAAACCTTTATACAGAAGCAGGACGATGTATTCTGATACTCGTTTTCTTGGCTGATATTGGACAGATTTTCGTAACAGATCAGAGTATCTCTAGATTGGATTTGGATGTTTTCATTGAAAATAAAAAAGTGTATTAGATCGATTCCATCCATTTTGTTTTAATTTCTCCAACAGAAGTGCAGTGTTTGAATTGACGGTAGTGAAATGGATATGTTGAGGTGCAGAAACCACCAAAAACAAAAAAAGTTTTTTTTTTCATTCTTTTTATCTGCTTCTAAATATTTGAAAGCAAAGTGTTCTAAAACAATGACTCTACCTGCTTATTTCCTCCAATTTCTGCTGCTTCTTGTCGCTATTTGCCATCTTCTTAGTCAGCATGTTAATAATAAGGAGGGAAAGGAGGAAAATACCAATAAATATGAATAGATCGACACAATATATAGTAGATATACAGTCACCACAATCCTCAATGTAGTCAGTTTTCCTTAGACCTGCTAGTATTGCACTATATATTATCGTGTAGTATAATTACCCTGCAGTTATGCGCTAAAGATAGTTTAAATGTTTGGTGCTTGTTCATCGTATTAAAAAAGAATAAGATTTTCTAAACAAAATATATCAAAAGAGCCGTATTGCTACATAAAAAGTGGGTTTTGTAATCAAAGCAGCTACAGACAAAAAGATGCAACTTTTTCGTCGAGGTTGTTTCTGGGATAGAAATTATGACACTATTGTTTTTCTCCAGTGTCTGGTTTGAGGTCTATGTTTGCAGTTAATACATAATAGGGAAAAAACTAGATTTGACAGAGATTCTATGTTGCATTGAACAGATCCATGTGCTGATGTAGGAAATGCAACATTTTTAACCATGTATTTAGTTTGATAAAACTCATGATTGTGGATTTTTGGTGAATATCTGGGTTTTATTTTGCATGTTTAAACCGAATACCGATAGACGGTTGATCTGAAGCAAATAGGAACAACGATTATCTAACAATCTTTCACTGTTTTTCTACCTGTTTGAATTTTTCCTCCTGATTGTTTACATAATTCACCACTGGTGGAAAAGTAAGGGTTTATTTGACAACAGCGTCCCTGTGTGCAGGCTTAGCTTTTAGCATACCAGAAACACCCCTAGCTTTTCCTGTTGTGTTCATTGGCAATGGTATATGTAGCGCTGCATGCAAAGCTGGGTTAACAGTATTTTTACAAACATGTTTGCAGCACTTTTGGCAGTGGCAGCATGTGATACAGCACTTCTCTGTGTGTGTGTGTTTTTTCTGTTTGCCCATTTAATTAAATGTAAATAAGTATTAAAAGTGAAAAACTTTATGATGAACTAGATTTAAAAAAATTTGAAAATGATGAAGAAATTCTAATGGATGTGCTTAATTTGAAGAGGGGAAGTCTTTTCTTTTTCGTCATGAATTGAATAAAAATTTAAAACAATGAAATAAAAAAATAATAGCTGTTTTTGCTGGTGCTAAAAAAACGTATAAAACTTGAATCTGGCTCTCTTGGCCTTCTGCATATGGTGTTTTTCCTGCTTAAAACGGCGATTGCTTACTGCTGACAGACACGGGGGAGAGAGATTCATTTCTGTGTGCATGTTGGAGAGGCAGTCTTTTACTTTTCTTGCAGCTTACTTATGAATTGGGGCTGGATTTTCAAATGGCATTACCCAACAGATATGTCCAGTTTATCAAGCATGCCTTTGATGGTTAATGTGTTTTGCAAGCCTTCAGCAGTGCCCCAGTGACCTGCATTCAATAATCTCTGAGTCACTCCTCTCCCTTAAATTAAACCCTGAGCTCATGTCAGCCTTTGTGTGCTGATGTGATTTTCTTTTATTTATCTTTTATTTGAAATAGACTCTTTTAAGGTGGATTTTTCCATGTTATCTTCCCACCACATGCTTTTTAACTGGACATATCATGGGAGAGAGAATTACAGCCTCTCCCTCTTTCTGACCCTTTTTAATCTCTTCTCATTTGGTGTTCAGCCCTAATTCTATTTGCAAATGCAGTCACGTGAGAATGGAGCTCATAGTCGAGAGCATTTTTAGATTAGCTCGCGGTTCACACAAAAGATGTAGTAGTTGCAGACAAGAATGCCCGAGATAAGCCAAAGCTTCTCCAGTGAAGTAGCTGCCCAGATCTCTGCAGTGGTTTCCTGTCGATCGGCTGTCGATTTAGCGGACTGGCCGTCACGTTTAACCTGGGTTGGGCGTGTGGGGCGAAAGCATGTGCAAGTGCAACTGAGAGAAGAGCAGCTGTCTGGTTCTAGACAGAACCTGCCCTGAGGATTTCACAAAGCTCGGCTTGTCTCCGCGGTCGTTTGGGTCTCTCATTCTGTCAGTCACCGGGAGCTGTAGAAAGGGGGTGTTTGTCTGCAGCGATTCAAAAGTCCGAACCGCCTGAATAATCACAACAGGCTCCCCTCTAGCTAAAAAACTGGGAGGAGTTTAGTCTCCCACTGAGGCCTTTTCTGCTTTGTCCACTGCTTGGTCACACTTTACAAGCCCCCATTCTCTCTCTTTCACTGCAATGTGGCCGAGCTTCTTCTCTTTTAGGAGAATTGGTGACTTAGGCAACAAACTTCATTTCTTTTTCTATTTTTTAAACGCTTGAATGTTTCTGATGAGCTCTCATTTAGATGTTTAATGTATTAACAGTTAAGGTCTTTCTAAGCTAAGGGTACAAATACAGGTCCTCTGTTAAGAAAGTGATTACATTAAAATAAGATGCCACATTTGGCAGGAAAAAATGTTCAAAATGTCATTTTTGTGCGACAAAAATACGATATCCTCCAATAGAATTGTGGCTTCATAACCTTACGTTTAAGGAAGGAGCTATCTTTTGGGCTTCAAATGCTTTGTCTATATTGAGTTTTTTTTTTTTTTTTTGTGGCCACGCTGTGCTGCTGGCTCCCTAAACCTGCTCAGTCTGTCAGGATTACAGCCATCGCCCCTGGAGTGGTGCCAGATTACAGTCAGCTCCTGAAAACACAGCAAAGCAGGTTTTCATCGGGTTTCTTTGACAGACAGCTGTGATGAAAATTAGCTTCAGGGCTAAAACGCTCTTTTTAAGTCACTTATTTTTGTTTGGACGGCTAGCTGATTTGCAAGGATTTGGTAATGCGTCATGATCTCATTCCAGTCTGTACATCAACAGTCGTATCGTGTAAAAACCAACCGGTTGTCTGGGAGTATTTCTCATACTACCGTTCCTGCTGTTAGTCACGGTGTTTCTAAACGTTTGTGATCAGTGTCTCAGAGACAAAGAGCCTCTTGCGAAGCTCTCCTTGCTCATCAGAGCGAATACCTCGTCCGGCCTCTCTTTGGATGTAATGATTCAAAGGAAGGGGGGGAAAATTACTCAGGATAACACTGAGAGAAACATGAATCCTTGAATTGTGTGTGGTATGCAGAGAAGATTCTCCCTGCTCTTCAGAATCACCATATATAGTCGCGCCCATGTTGACCCGTCTGCTACGCATCCGTGGGGTGTGCCAAGGCTGTGCCCTCTGTTATTTTCACACTGACTTTCACAGTGTTTCGGAAATTAATGTCAGAATTCTCAGTTTCAGGTTCTAAAATGGAAACCAATCATGGTTTCCCTGCATGGTTTCTTGAAGCTGGGGAAATCTGCTAAAGCTTGGATCGAATCTCACCAGCTTCCAGCTCTTGTTTTTCATGATTTGTTTGCCTGTCAGAACCCTGCATTATGATAAAAAAAAAAAAAATTTTATGAAAGAGAGCAACTTCTTGAATCTTTATTGGCTGCAAACATGTTTTAATGATTGAACCTTTAAGGAAGGGGGGGTGGGATAGTAGATGTCAGCAGACTTGGGGTTAATCCTCATCGACCCCTTTGCAGCTGCATGTAGGATTTCCACCAGCAGTCCTGCTGCTAAAAAAGCAAATCTCTCTTCTGCAGTTTGTAGAAGTGACTGAAACATGCAAGAACTTTGAAACCCTGGTGAATAAATAGGCGAGTATTGATCCATTGTATTTAAATATAAAAGAATATGAGTTAACATGTAGGAAGGGGCGTGATGAGTTGATCTTTATGTTGGAATT